CAGAGCTAAGGGCTCGCCCCGCCGGCCTCGCTCCCGGCTCCGGCCCGGGCAGCCTGCGCCCCCGCGCTCCGGGCGTGCCCGGACCCTGCTGGCGGGGCGCTGCCGGGCCTCGCCTCGCGGTGCCTCCCCCTTGTGCACTGCTGGGCGGCGGAGGCTCGCCCTAGACGTGCACGGAGAAACTGCACTTGCATATTAAGGTGTCTGTGAAAGGGCCCAGGAAAGCCGGGTGAAGCTGGGTCACTGCATGTAACAAGTTGCAGGTGCTTTTTGTGGCACAAACTGTGGACTAATCGGGGTTTCTTCAGGCCCTGGAGTGTAACGTTGTGTTCCTCCAGCCTGCAGCGTTTGGTTTAACCTACACCTACATTATTGCCTTTGTGTGAAGAAGGAAGAGTCATTGATTTGTGATGTTTTCTCCCTTAGCTCTCGAATGATTGAGATCCAGACACAGATGTCACAGCGGGCAGTGGAGCTGTTGGGTCTGGCAGAGGATCAGCCGTGTTTCCTGTTGGATGTTGGGTAAGAAAATACAGATGAGTCATGGAGTTGGAAGGATGCTGCTTCCTTCTTGCTTTCTTCCCTCTGGTCTTTGGGTTGCTGTTATAGGAAGACAGGACTCTGAGCTGCCAGAACTTTTGTTTTTTGTATTACGAAAAATGCTGGCATTTTACGTAGGGTTTTGTCTGGTAGCATGGTGATGAACATGGTTCAGGCATCTGATCCACTTGTGCCCAAGGGCCTAATTTCCATTAATGTTGATAGGTGCATCTTGATTGGGTTAGCATTACATCTTGGGTTATATGTGAAGGAGTTGGCTGTTTATTTCTACTGCTTTTGTAACCCTTGCTCTTTCCTTTTTAGCTGTGGTTCTGGTTTGAGTGGAGATTACATCTCTGAGGAGGGGCACTACTGGGTTGGCATGGACATCAGTTCTGCCATGCTGGGTAAGCAGATCCAGTTCCGCTTTATATCCAAGGGCTTGGACCTTCATGCTTTGACTAGGAAAGCCCTGCCCATGCAGCAGACAGATGTTTCAAATCTTGTGATGTGATCTGAAGGCACATGGTAGGCTTCCTAATTATTTCAAGTTCTGTGCAGATGTGGCTGTGGAGAGAGAGGTGGAAGGGGACCTTCTTCTTGCAGACGTGGGACATGGTATTCCTTTCAGGCCGGGCACGTTTGATGGCTGCATCAGGTACGGCTGTACATTTTCATTGTCTTCCTGTGGTTCCCAGAAACTCTACCGAACAGGGACAGACTGCTCTTTGCCTCCTTGTTAACTATTGTCCTTGCCACAGTGCAGGTTGATTCCAGGTTGAGATTTGGACAGCTTTTGAATTGTAGTAGCTCACTTCAATTTGGGGGCAGCTATTGGAAAGTTACCTTCATGTACTTTGTGTGTCTCCTAGTGCTGGGAAAACTGAGAAACCAATACTCAGAAAGCTGAGGATGGACCCAGGAGGGGTTGGGCTGCTGATAACCAAGGCAAACAGGAGGGACTGAAATACCCAGAGCTGAGCCCAGCATTAGTTGCTTGTGGGTGTTGGGGAAAGAGAGAGCTGCATATCTTATAGTTGGAAAGCTGGAGCTACGAGGCTTTGACATGGTGCTGCCCTTGAGCCCCACAGCCCAGCTCCTTTGAAGGCTGGGGAAAAGTTTTCTTATGGAAGTGAGGTGTGGGGGGCACTGTTTACTACCTCAGAGCTGTTGTTGCATTCAGGGTCACTTGCTCAGAGTGGTGGGGGAATAACTGCATTAACTGCGCATGTGAATTGGGGCTACACTTGGGTTAATGGAGAATCTGACCCTTGAAGGGACATAGTACCTCCTCACTGTGTTTTACCTGACATCATGGTTGTAGGAATCTTGGTACAGCTCTTTTGGATGGTCTAAGGCAGTGGTTCTTAACCTTTCTAAAGTCAGGGCACACCTTCCAACTTTTGAGTTTGGTGTCCCTGGTTGAGAACCATTGTTGTGCTATCTCAGTTTACCTAAGTCAGGGGTTGTTAACTGGGGGTGTGCGTACCCCCAGGGGTACTTGAGCTGGCCCTAGGGGGTACACATGGGCAGAGACAAAGTGCTACCACGCAGCATCCCGTGCTGCCATGCAGGCACCGCCTGCCCAGATGGACGTGGGGGGCAGGGGAAGCTTGCATGTGGCAGCTGCTGCTACTCCACATCTGGCCATTTGGCCCTCCTCTCACTTACCCCCTGGCTGGGGGTACACTGCTCCGTGTCTGGCTGGGGATACAACGATGCAAAAAGATTGAAAACCCCCGACCTAAGTGGTTCTCAACTGGGTGCTACTGGCAGGTAAAAACTGTTCCACATGCCTGGTGCACAGGCACACCAGGAAGGACTGAGGCATGAGCAGTCTCTTCTGCCTGCTTAAGGCTTAGTAGAAATCTGAGGAGCACATGCAAGCAGAGCCCTTCCCAGTCTGGCTGTGTACCAGGCATGTGGGGTGCTTCTACCTGGTGGCTGCTGTGCAGTGGCAGCACCTGCACCATGGCACCCCTCAAGTGGTCTCACAGTACCCTGGTTGAGAGCCACTGATCTAAGGCACTAGTATGCCATCCATGGTGGGAAGTGTTTGCAGCTGCAGGAACTAAAAGCTTGTTCTGTTGTAAAGGAAGCCTGCATTCTGTAGGGGCGAATATTGCTGTTGAGCAGTTCAGATGTGTGGCCCCACAGGCTTTGAGTCAGTGTTTCTTTAGGATAGGTTTATCCAATGCTGTCTAGGAAGGCTGGTGGGAACAATGTGCTGATTGAACAGCTGATGTGAGTGCCTTCAGCCCAGTGGTACATCAAGGGCCAGCTCTGCCAGTGGAATGTCCGGGGATGGGTCAAGTCTGGGGGGAGGGTTGGTGAGAGAAGACTTGGGCAAGATGAAGGGGATGGAAAGGTTTTGCTGAAAAGAGTAGCCTGAGGAGCCCCCATGAGAGGCTGGGGGCTCTCTTGTCCTTTGGTCACATGTTCTCTCTCAGTATTTCTGCAGTGCAGTGGCTCTGTAATGCCGATAAGAAGACGCACAGTCCTCCCAAACGCCTGTATCGATTCTTCTCAACCCTCTATTCTGCCTTGGTGAGTGTGGCCCCTTTTCAGCCAGCCCTTCCTCCTCACAGTGCATCTAGAGAGGATCTCCTTTCAGGCTGATCTGTCCCTCTAGCATGGTCCCCCAGCTGACTTGGACACTGCTACCTACCCCAGCTACACTATGGTGTTGGGTCACACTCCCTGCGCTAGGCAGGCAGGCTGTATTGTAGCATAAGCCTGTTTTGGGCAAGGGGTTAATAATCTCCTTTACTCTCTGCAGGCCCGGGGATCACGTGCTGTCCTGCAGCTCTATCCTGAGAACTCCGAACAGGTATGTCAATTCTTCCCCTGCTGGGAAAAGGTACATGGGTGGTGCAAGGTGGAAAAGCACTGCCCAGAGCTTGACTGCATTTTCCAGACTTTCTTTAGTGCTGCTTTGAGTGCATGTGGTCTTGGTCCGTGCCGTATTGGTGGAAAGCTTATGACACTCCTGAAGGGGGAACATCCCAATATGGTGGTTAGACTCTGGTCCTTTCTGGAATCATGCTGGAGCTCATGGAGTGCACCATTAACCCACTGCTCTACAGACTGCGTTTGAGGAGTTGAATCTTAGAACAAGCAAAGGGCATGGCAGGATATGGATTAAGCATTTGATTTGCCAGATTTCCTACGGTCTGGTCAAATTGGAAAGCCAGATCTTCGAGCTGTGGTTGAGCCACTGGGTTTTTGGACAGAGGTAATACTAGGCAGACTGCTTCCTTACAACTGGGAGTTTGGATGTGGAATTTGCTTTGGAAAGGGGATTTAGTGCAGAACTGATGAACATAATTTGCATAAGACTTAGCTGGCAGTTCTGGCACACATTGTTGGGTGGATGGCTGGTTGGCTAACTGATGACAGCATGTGTTCTTTGCAGCTGGAGCTCATCACTGCTCAGGCCATGAAGGCAGGTTTCACAGGAGGGATGGTGGTGGATTATCCTAACAGTGCCAAAGCTAAGAAGTGAGTTTTGTGTCCTTGTGGGCTCGGGCATGGTGTGGCTAATCCTGCTGAGGGCTAATTTACCAGACTCCTGCAAACATGGTGGTGTGTCTCCCTCATATGGATATCTTGCTCTAGGGCAAAGGTGGTAGCTCATAATGTGGAGCAAACCCGTGAGGGACTTGTCCTTTCTGAATGCACTCTGTCCCATATTCAGCTTCTTGTAACTGTGAGGTGGCTGGAAGCCAGCTCCACCTGCATTCCCAATCCCAGAAAGAAACTGCATGCTCCCATTTCTTATCTCTCTTGTCTCTCTTTCAGGTTCTTTCTCTGCCTCTTTGTTGGTGCATCTGGTGTGTTACCAAAGGTAATGAGCCCCAGCTTTGGGTGACCACATACTGGGAGGCATCGGGGTATGGGAAGCTGCTGCTCCTTAGTGAGTGATCCTCTTTGCATAGGAAGTAGAGCCTTCGAGCCTGATTTACCTACACAGCAGTCTGCAGTTCAGGGTAAAGACATGCAGCTCAAAATAACTAGTCTGGATATGGGTAGGGGGTCAACCCCACATTGCTCTGCACTGCTGTAGCAAGTTCACAGTTCTGTGTGGGAGAATCTGTCTGCAATACAGACATACCATCTGTCCAAAGCCATGGGCAGCAGGACCTCATGTTCCTAGGGCTCCCTGGTGTTTGCATGGCATCGTCCGCCTTCAGATAGGAGTGAGTTCCATGGTCCAGCCTTGGCCATACTTATTTCAAACATGGAGGGGCTGCTGGACCTGAGCTCATTTCTTCCCCGAGAGCTTGAGATCTGTGAGGGAAAGGATATGCTGTCCTGCCTAACGTTAGCTCATCCTGTCCAAGCTTTCCATGCAGCCAGCTTGGTGCTGTTTTGCTTTTACCTCAAAAGCTGGTAGATGGATTGGTTTGCTTCTTTCCCACAGAACAGTCTCTCCCCTAGATTTGCTGGCATCTTGCTCCTGGAGTGACTGTGCCCCTCCATCCATGTGGTGGCAGCTCCTAAGCTCTGCTTGATGACATTAACACCCCTTTTTCTCTGCTTTCAGGGTCTTGGTGCTGAGTGTACTGATGGAGAGGAATCCCGGCAGGCCAAGTTTACTAATGAAAGGTACTGTGTTGGGGGTGTAGCTGCAGGGCCAGTTCCATGAGGCATCTGACAGGAACACAGCATGTTTGTGGGGCTTCAGGAAGACGAGTGTTGTGTCCTCCTTCCCCCACACCTGCCCTCCTCCCACCTCCATGGAGCCCTAAATTCCCTTCCCTGCTCAGCTGTTTATCTTAGTTTCATAGTCGGTAGGGTCGGCAAGGACCTGAGCAGATCATCAAGTCTGACACCCTGCCATGGGCAGGAAAGGATGCTGGGGTCAAACAACCCTGGCAAGGTGATTGTCTAGCCTCCTTTTGAAGACTCCCCAGGGTAGGAGTGAACACCACGTCCCTTGGAAGTTGGTTCCAGATCCCAGCCGCCCTAACTGTGCAGTAGTGCCTCTTGATGTCCAGCCTGAACCTACTCTCAGTCAACTTATGGCCATTATTCCTAGTTACTCCTGGTAGTGCTGGGAGGAACAGGGTCTCTCCCGTTCCCTGCTGGTCCCCCTTGGCAAGTTTGTAGACAGCCACCAGATCCCCTCTCAGCCTTCTCTTGTGGAGGCTGAACAGGTTCAGGGCCCGTAGCCTCTCCTCATAGGGCCTGCCCTGCTGCCCCCTTATCATGTGAGTGGCCCTTCTTTGGACCCTCTTACTGCTGTCCACATTCCTCCTGAAGCGCGGCGCCTAGAAATGGATGCAGTACTTCAACTGTGGCCTGACCAATGTCACATAGAGGGGGAGGATCACCTCCTTGGACCTGCTTGTGATGCATCTGTGGATGCATGACAAGTTGTGGTTAGCCTTACTGACCCTGTCCCCACATTGGCGGCCTATGTTCATCTTGGAATCAGTAAAGACTCCAAGATCCTTTTCTGCCTCTGTACCTTGATGCTTTGATTCCTGTGTAGCCCTTCATATGGCTCAGGGCTGGTGTGCTGCGGTACCATTAGCAATGTCTCCTCCTGACCCTGTGTTGCAGGGCACTGTTTCCCTTGCAGCCAGTGGGAGAGACTGAAAGTAACAGCCAGAGGATAATCGTCATGGCTGCCAGAAGCTGCTGGCTGTCATGTTTTCCTGCCTCTTACAGAATTGTACGCTTAACATTTACCAGCCTGAGGCCTCTTCATTGTTTTAGACAGCTCGTCCAGAGGGCAGCATTAGTAACTTGCTGGGAAGCCAGGGGCTCTGTCTGACTTAATAAGCCCACCTCTTCACAATGCCAATGGCCAGTGACTGTCCACGCTGCTAGGTAGCACCTTGGGGGCATACCCAGTCCCTGTCCCTTCCTCTACCATTGTTGCTAGAGTTTAGTGAGTTACCTAGACTCCGAGAGCTGGTCAGGATGTTCTTTGTCTGTATATTCTTTGTACTGCATTGACTGTTTCTGTCCGGCCAAGCTACTGCTTACAAGCTTGGAGTCCTAACCTTTCCTTAAGCCCTCACTTTCATGGGGTGAGGGGGAAGATCATGGGCTGTGAGGGACTCTCTAAATCCATCCAGGGCTGGTTGCAGCAAGCTAGGAGAACCTGAGACTTGAGGTAAATGAGTGACCAGCTCTGTCCACACCCCACACCTGGCCCCAGTCAGCCTTCTCTCTTGGTTCTCTTGTAGAACAAGGTTCAAAAATGCCAAGGGGAAGTCTGCAAAGAAGTCTCGGGACTGGATCTTGGAGAAGAAGGAACGCAGGCGGCGGCAGGGCAAGTAAGTGCCTCCACTTCCCATGTTGGGTCCTACAGAGCAGAGTGAGGCATTCTCTCAGCTGCAGCCAAGGCACTTGGGATCTCTGTGGAGACAGCCACCAGCAGCACTGAGGTTGGGGCAGGCAACAGGGTTATTAGCATTGTGCTGCACCTGTTCCTGCCAAGATCCCCATTGCTTCAGCAGTCTGCCAGCTCTGTGCTTTTTCTGACTCTTCTGTGTTAAGCTGAGTCTCCTCCTGGCTGTCAGTACAGGTCTGCAGGTGGCCTGCTGGCTGTTTTGTTTCCAGTACATTTGTGTCCCTTCAGCTGAGCCCTGTTCGTTTCTTTCTCCACAGGGAAGTGCGGGCTGATACAAAATATACCGGCCGAAAGCGGCGCCCTCACTTCTGACCCCTTTGGATTTCCTTCCAGTCCCAGTTCTGTGGCAGGCTTTGCATTGACACTGGCACAACCCCTGTGGACCTACCCCTGCACCAGCAGGGGCTGCAGGCGCATGCAACCTAAGCCTGAAAGCTGCACAGCCTGAGGATGTCCATCCGTGACTTCTGCAGGAGGGGCTGCCCAGTGTCCCACTTGAATGCTTCCAGTCCTGTTTACCTGGGAAAGAGAATCTCTTTGCCAACACTGCAGCCAGGTTGGGGTGCAATGTATGGAGACTGATCCAGCCTTTTGCAGACTTCCTGGGGTGTGGGCCCTGTTACCAGCCCACAGGGGCAGAGTGGTAGAGCTGCTGTACAGCCCCAGGCAACCTGTTCCTGACCTTGGGAGTGCAATGTATCCTGGGTTATCTTGTTTCTGGGACCCTTCCTCTGGGGTTCCAGCCCAGTCAGCAAATAGAAGCGCTTTGAGTGTGAGGGTTGCAGAACTGTCCTCTTTGTCAGGCATGCATGTGTGAATCAGGAGCTGTTCTGTGCTGAGGCAGGTCAAGTGGAAATGAACAGTCCCCTGGTACTTCTCCCTTTCTGAAAGGATGTTGAAGGCTTCCTAATGCTGTGACCCAACCTACCCTTGCTTGCACGTGGTTATGCAAAGTCATCCGCAGCTGCGGTCAAGGACCCCACACGGTGAATGTGGGCAAGTATCCCCACAAGTAGAGTGGAGTTAAGGAATTCATCAGAGCTTTCCTGGGTCACTACCTGAAACATAGAGAAGAGCAGCTGCTGCTATATGCTGCTACCCTTCCTGGGCCAGCTCTGACCTGCGTAGTCACCCTTCCCCTGTGGCGCAATAGAGTGAGGAGCTGGGGCCCTGCTGTGTGGTTACAAATGTTTATTCTACATAAAAATTCCACAAAATGGGAAGCTATTTTGCATCTGAAGCAGTGGGGAAAGGAGTCTTAGCAGAGGAAGGACAGGGACTAGATGGAGAAAAGAGGCAACACAGCGTCATCCAGTCCATGGAGACTGAGCAAGCCAGGTTCAAGATCCACGTGGAAAACAAGGACACTCAGCTCACGGTACAGCAGTGGTACAACTCCAAGGGGGTCGCTGAACGCTTTCAAGTGCACTGAATTTAAAGAACAAAACACTCCCCTGCTAAGCGCGCAAGCTGTACGTGCCTGATAGCTCATGGAATACTGCGCAAGACAACCCCCACACTGGGAGGCCATGTGGCACTTGGAACAGATAATTCTTTAAAAAAGACACCTTGAGATTGATTTTCCTAAAGAAAAAGTGAAACATCTTCCCAAGCACAAGCACACCATTGTGAATCCAGTCTCCACATGCAACATGGGTGGGCAGGGGAGAACAGGATAGGGCTTACCCACGTGCAGGGATTACAGTACTGGTCCCAAATGCTTCCCTCCCCTGCTTACAGCCATGGGGGGTGGCAGTGTGGTATATGGCTCCTGCTGGGGTCCATACCTCAGCCCCACTCACTGCTTGTGATCAGGCCCTAATAAAGCCTGAAGTAAGGGTACAGGCAGTCCCAGCCTTGCAGAATCCTACTCCAGGGCTGGGTCCCCACAGCCTGTTTTGTTTTTTGTGTCTCCTTGCTAAACTGACATTAGTACGTGCCTGTCTTCCAACAATGCTGCTTCAGGACTTGCCCCCCAGAGCACAGCTACCTGAGCAGACCAGCAGTGTCTATGTTGTGCTCCTGCCTCACTCGCTCTTGACTGCGTCGCGGCTCCGCTGCACTAGGCAATAATGGTGCTGCAGAGGTGCATGAAGAAATGCCTAATCAGTCTTTAACAGCAGTGAGCATCTTGACATATGCCTTTCCTGAGGATTGATGGAGCTACTGTTTTCCTCCCCCCAGGACCTGCCTTGCTGGCAATGTTATTGCTTAACAAAGGGGGAAGCCTTCCTTTGAAGATCTTACTGGCTGGTTTTTGCATAAGGCAGAGGAAAGCTCAGGGTATTGAGCCTCTTTGTAAGGGGACAGAGTAGGGGTGTTGGCATCTGGAATCCAACCACTTTCCCAACTCAAAGACCTCACATATGGTGGAGCTGTTGTCTGTTCTTACTACCTTAACTACATGTGGCTGTGGATAAGCCCTGGCCTCAATTAGTTGGTAAAAGGCTAAACCCTCCATGCTCCCTACTACCCATGGCACTATAGCCCCCTCTCCTTGGGATAGGTAAGTGCCCAAAAGGCCTTGTTCCCTTTGTGGTTTTAAGCCCCTCAGCTTAACCCTGAGCTATTTTGGCAGGGTTTTACTCCTGCTGCCCTCCTGGTGCCTGTTCCTTGGCCATTGGCAGAAAACACCCTCTGCAGACACTTCTACTGGATGGCTGGCACCAAGCTGATTTGAATTTTGCTGGACCTTTTATTAACGGTGTTGGGAAGAGAGCCCATTTTGGCTCAGCCCTGGGCAGAGGAGCAGAAGATCTGACAGTTCCGAAAGCTCTTTGGCTCAGAGATGACACCCACTGATTTCACACGGAGCCTTGATTCCCCCTACAGGCTTTAAAGGGAGGCTATAGCAGGGGCATATTACAGCCCAACCCATGACAAGCTGTGAACCCTGTGGGAGCTGCCTACTTCTCTGGGGGGTCTCATCTCAGCTTGCTGCTTTGTGTTGGGAGGTGCTGGCAAGCATGTTGCTGGGGAGCTAAAAGACAAGCTCCTTGCAGCACTGACAACCATCGCAAAATGGGATTGGATGGGGCGGGACTGGAGACAGTAATTCATACCTTGCTGTGGCAGGCCCTTTCCGGGGGGGCCCCCCGGGCGC